AAAAAAAAAGGAAGGAAAGAAGGAAGGGTGGAAGGAGGCAAGGGGAAGAGGAGGAGGAGGAAGAGAAAGAGAGAGAGAAAGAAAAGAGAATAAGGGACCAGCAGTTGGCGTAATGGCTATGTTGCTGGACTCCCATGTAGTCGACCGTGGTTCGAGTCCCAGACCCGGTGGCTTAAACTCACACAGGGAGCATGTGTGTGTGTGCCCAAGATCCTGAGAGGAGAATGGAGGAGAAGGGATTGCAACGTAGCCATCCCCCCCGGAGGGTGATTTCTCGCTTTCTGTCTGTCTCTTTCTGTCTTTCTGGTGGGCGCACATGCCCTATAGCAAAATCCTCTCAAAAAGAAAAAATTCTATGTAATAAACATAGGAATGAAGCAAAGGGACAGGAGCTTCTCAAACCTAGTACCACCATATTATTTATCTGATATATTTCTTTTTCTTTAATTACCCACTCTTTTAAAAAATGTTTACTATGAAAAAGAGAAGGCGAGAGAGAAAGGAACCCTCAAAGGGTCTTCACACTGTGATCCTCTTATTCGTCCTATAGCCAGCTGGGATCACAGGGGTGTTCAGTCAGACAAAGAATGCAAACCAGAGCTTTCGCCATGACCTCCACTGCTGCATTCCTATCCACTGCCTTCCCTACCATAAGCCTGACATATTTCTTTAAATACATTCCTTCTACCTGAATTTTTTCTGAAGTCACAGTACTCTAATCTTGGTCAAAAAAGCAATGTGCTCATCTGAACGTGCCTTCCCAGACTCCCATGTAGCTAGGAATGGTCAAGAAACAGTTCTGGTCTGTGAATTATAAGCAGAAGTCTATTGGCTAGAGTTCCCAGGAGATTCTGCTTTTCTAATTAAAAATAATAATAATAATAATAATAGTCGTGGTGGTGGCGGTGGTGGCAGTGGGGGTAGTAGAGGATAGACTCCACATCCTCTTTCTTCTCCTCTTTCCCTTCCTCCTCCCTGAAATGAGGATGCAATCCTTGGAGGTAGAGCAGCCATCTTAAGGCCATCAGTATAAAAGCCTCATACTAAGGATGAAACGGTTAAGGTAGAGGCCTAGGTCTTTGACACCATCCTTGGATAGCTTCACTGGCTATAAAATTAACCCTTGTTTAAACCACTATTGGTTGAGATTTTAGTCACTTGGAGCCAAATGCATCCCTCTCTAATGCACTGAGTTTGATAAGACTGCTTCTTTTTTTCTAGTTTAATTCAAATAGATTTAGAATTACTCAAAATCGCTTCTGGGTTACATCTGCAATGTATTGATAGAAACTAGTGGAGTGTGACATTTCTAGAAATGTTGACCTAATAGGATCATTACTTTGGCTGACCATTTCAGAATTCACTAAGATTTCCCTCCATCATTCTTTAATTTACTCTTCACTACAATTCCTGAGGTAAATGAGGTAAGTATTATTGTCGACTTATTACCAACCAGTGGATGGATGGGGCTGAGAGGTGCTAAACAACTTCCCAAAGATCTTACAGCTAATGAGTAAGAAACAGGAGAACCTCAATAAATGTTTATTAAGTATCTACTACATGCCAGGCACTGTGGATACAATGGGGAATAAAATAAACAGTTTCTGCCCCCATGGAGCAACAAGGGGTCAGAAAACTAAACGAATGACAGCAACCAAATATGGCATTGCTATGTTAGGGAAACCTAGGGGTCTGAAGAAGCATGAAAGAGGGTCTCAATCTTAATTTTGGTTCCCCCAAAGCAGACCTTGAGGAAAGAATTTGAAAGCAAATAGATTTCAGGGAGGTAATCCCAGGAATTGTCCATAGAGGAGTAAGGGGGTTAAATAGGGAAGAGAACATGTAAGTGTATATTTGTGCTGTGTGTAACTGAGGTTGAGCCCCTCAGGAGGATCCTCTAGGAAAATATAGAAAGCAGAACTGAGAGTTGCCTCAGAAGGGGAGAAGCTGGGGTACTGACCCACCACTTTGTTGGTTGAAACTTGCTTTTGAGGGCATCAATTCCTTGCACTCTGACCTGTCCCCATGAATGGGCCAAGACCTGTGCTCTGTCATCTTTAATAAATGAAAAAGAAAAAAGAAAAAGAAAAAAGTCCCCAGGAAAGCAGATGGAAAAAAACCCTTGGCTTGTACCAGAACCATGCAGATGACTCCAGTGTGGGTGGAACAGCTATGAGGTCCCAGCAATAACTGTCACAGGTACCTAATACAGGAAAGAAAGGCCAGGAAAAGCTTCCTAAGCAAAACCTAAGTACTTTTGCCAAGTAATGCCACAACTTGACACTGAGACAGTCTGTAGGAAATAAAATGCCTAAATATCCTGACATTTGCCCTGTTGGCTCATCCACATGATTATCCAGGATGTCCCAAAATGGCACCAGTGGAAGGAAGCAAGATCAAAACACACTTAAGTCCAGATACCTCCTTAGGAAACAAACCTACCTCCCAGGAGGGATCAGAAACCAAAAGTCCATTTCCAACTTTGCCTGGGCTTGCTTCCTATGGTGTGTGCTTCTGTCCTCACTGACACACTGAATGTTCTCCCCCAAATTATTTTTGAGTTCTCCTGGCAGCAGCTCTGCCTCCCCCGACTCCCCTCCCCACTCCCTTTGGCAGATCTGTGTTATAAAATAAGAGGATCGGGATTATGTCTGTCTGACAACTGAAGAATGAGCAACGGAGCAGATGCAGAGTCTTACAAATCCCGTGAATTATACATGGCCATCTGCAGCCTGGAGCCGTCCAGGATTTCCACCCCACACCACGGCGTTCCATATGGAGTCATATGTTTTTAGTATCGGAGCCATGCTGTCAACGTCCAGCAATCCGTCATGTGGCACATGTGTGATGCAAGCGCCCAAATAAATGTTATCTCAGTCCCAGGAGCTCTGAGCAGGGAAGTGTGGTGGCTCTGGTAGGCCTGTCTTCTCAGAAGGACGCTTGCTGTGTCATTTTTTGAAATTTTAGCAATGTTGTTAAATCTCTTTTCCTTCACTTGGAAGGTAGACCTCCCACTCTCCAACTCACAGATGCCCTCTAAGAGAAGTCTGATTTAAATTTAAGAACTTAAAAGCCACTAGATTTAAGTCTGATGCTAGGAGTTTTTGTGTTTATTTTGTTTGTTTGCTCTTTTCAGTTATTGCTATAGGGTGTATGCACTCACCAGGGAGAGACAGAGACAAAGAGAGGGGGATAACTGAGAAATCACCCCCAAGAGGAGTGGCTATGCCACAATCCCTTCTCCGCCATCCTCCTCTTGGAATTCTGGGCACACACAGGCCAGCATGTTTTACGAGCCACTGGGCCCAGGACTCAAACTGTGAAGATGGCCATGTGGGACCAATCCACCTAACCACTATGCCACTGGCTGGTCTCATGATGCTGGGAGGTTTTATGGATTCTTTTGGGATGGGAACCTTGTCCCTACCACTTTCTTCTTGAGACCCAGGTTCCTTCACCAGGAATGGGGACTGAAATCACATGACCACACCCTGAATGGAGCTATCTGGCTCCAGCTGGGCAATTCTCTCCCGCAGGAATCAAAATGCAGAGGCACTACTCAGGCTGCACTACAACCTTCAAGAGAGGAAATTTAGAGATAGCGGTGTTGGGCCACGTGTGTGGGGAGGGAGAGGATCCAGGCTGTGGAGAGGGACAGGAACAGAGAATGAGAGAGAAGCAGAGGGAGTAGAGTGAGAGAACAGAGGAAGCCAGGGAGAGGGAGACAGAGACAGAGATCCCCATCTCCTTGTCAACCCATTGTTCTTAGTCTGTTGCTGTCTTGGACACTGGCTACTCTCACCTCTGCACTGCAATTCCCCTACTCACCTGAGGACGATTTCTTGGCTGAAGGTTTGTGGAGAGAGAGAAGGGACCTGTCCATGATCTCTGAATCATCCAGTTGAGGGCTGGTGTGCCTAATGCCAAAGCACTACGGAACCAGGATGGCACCACGGAACCAGGACAGAGTTTTTCCAAAGCTCTCAGGGCACAGGAAGAGGGAAGGAAGAGAAATGCCTTTTCAGGGCCCTGGGTAACCTCCCTCAGAAATACCAAGAGTGTCCATCCAGGCACCAGGCCACCTAGCTCTGCTGTTTCAGTAAGAAGTAATCTGGGTCTTGCATCATTTTGCAAATATCTACTTTATGCCCATCTGGAAGATCTGCTGTCAGATTTCCCTTTTGGAAACCATCCCTTTCCCACTCTGGATCCATGCCATCTAGGTGGACTCACTGTCCCCTCACGTAGACCAGGCCCAACCAATCAAAGTTTTTTAAAAAATAATTTTTTTTGAGAGAGATATTTTTGCTATAGGGTGCATGCAGTCTCTGAAAAGACAGGGAGAGATGGAGAAATCACCACCCCCCTCCCCTGGGGGAATGGCCACATTGCAGTCTCTTTTCAATTCTCCTGTTGGGATTTTGGGCACACAGGCACATACACCCCGTGTGAGTTTCAAGCCGCTGGGTCCAGACTGGAACCGCAACTGGCCACAACTGTGGGAATCCAGAAATGTAACCACTGGGCCACCCGCTGGCCCCCAGCCAGTCAGAGTTATAATAATGGTTCCAGGGCGAGGCCTTTGACCTAATCTGGGCCGGTGACATCAGCCTGGGACTTAGAAGGATGGATTAGGAAGGAGGCTTTCTTTATCTACAGGGGCTGGGGACACCACCCTGGCCATTGTGAGAATGGAGGCACCACAGACGCAGGCAGGAGAGACGCAGGCGGCAGAGGGCGAGAATCGGTGTGAGAGTGAGACCGACGGATTCGGATGCCAGGGGCGCAGAATGCCCTGTCGGCCACTCGGGGCCATAAATGCCCCTATGTCCCTAAATCACTGGGTGTCAGGGCTCTGGCACCTGCAACCAAATGGCTGGCCAGGCTACATCCTACACAGCCCGAGCCAGCGCCCGCCCTCGAAGCAGAGAAGGCGGCCTTGGCAGGATCCCTGAGGGGCGGCGACTTGTGAAGCAATTTCTAAAGCTCGTGGGACTCACGATTCTGAAGGCTGGGAGGTCCAACAGCAGGGCGGCCACATCGGCTGGGCCTCTGGGGAGGGGCACGGGGCGTGCCACCTCC